ATCTTTCAAACAAGCATGTCAAGCTCACATTCTCAGTGCAACTCTTTCTTTCCTCTCCAAATCATGAAATGTCTATACTGAAACCTTTTAGAATAACTTTGTCCTATGCTATAAATGCACATTTTTATGTGTGCAACTGCTAACTACAGTAGCTCACAAAATGGATTGGCTTTTGTGGGTAGAATGGCTCTGCAATTTGGGAGATTCTCCTAACCAAGAACAACCTATGGTTTCCTATCTAGTCAATCTAACATCACAGTCTAAGAACTGTAACTTTAGTTGAAAGATCTCATTTTTCATTTTTATTTAATGTAAGAGACAAAGAAGCCCAACAATTCAGGTACCAGTACTGAATTATGAAATCCTTTTCACCATGTGTAAGTAACCTTTTCATTTCCTTCTAGTGTTCAACATCTCTTTAGTTCTCTTGGGAGAATTCTGTGCCACTGCGCATGAGCATAATTAATGAGCTGTGCATATTTTTAATTTTTTGTGCAGACAAAAACTTCTGCTGAAAAGTTGCTGCAGTTCCACCATTTGCCCGCCAGATGGTGCTGTGGCAATAGATCACAGCAACAGCTCCCAGCAGAAAATAACGTCTGCAGTTCCACCTTTTGCCCACCAGAGGGCATTGTAACGCTAGAACATAGCAGCCGCTCCCAACCAGCTAGGGAGAGAAAGAGCCCGCCTTCTTCACAGCGCCTTTCTGGCCAGATCAGGAGACAGGGGCTATGGGGAGACAGACAGCGTGGGGCTGCTGGGGGGTCAGACAGGGGCTCATAAGGGCTAGTGGAGGAGGACAGACTGTGACAGGGACTGAATAGGAATGGAGACGCAGGATTACAGGGGGCAGGGAGGGGATGCAGAGCTACAGGGGGAAGGGGGATGGCTGAGTGGGGGCACAGAAACACATGGGGACAGGGGGTGGGGGTGCAGAGACACACAGGGACTGGGGGGTGGTTGAGTGGGGGCACAAAGACACATGGGGACGCGGCAGGGGTGCAGAGCCACATAGGGACAGGGGGTGGCTGAGTGGGGGCACAGAGATACATGTGGACAGGGGGAGAGGGTGCAAGACCACATGGGGATGGGGGGAGTGGGTATCTGAGTGGGGGTGGAGGGACCCATGTGCCTGACTGAATGGAAGAGGCTAGGGATCAGCCAGGGTCTGCATGGGAGACGTTCCCTAACAATCCCAACCCGCCTTCTCCCCCCCCACACCCACCAAAAAAATACTTGTTCCATACTTTTCCCACCCATACACAACAAACCTCCAATAATTGGTCCTTCCCAGCAATTATTTCCCTCTCCCTCACCTCATCCGTTATCCCTGACTCCCCCGACCTTTCGCACCGCTTCTGGGGTGTATGGGAAATATGGTTCTGTATTGTAGTTTAATGAATTATTATTCAGAGTTCTGTATTAATATACCTAGTAAGGAATCTATTTGTCAAAAAAACATTTTCTGAATCTTTTTTGTTGTCTATACTGTTACGGACATACTTGCTGACAGGTATTTTGAAATAAAGGACCAAAAATAATTGAAACTGATGTGATTATATAGTACTATTTTGACAAATAAAATATGCAGAATTTTGCAGAAATTGAAAATATTGTGCACAGAATTTTTAATTTTGTAGTGCAGAATTCCCCCAGGATACTTTAGGCTTTGGTAGTTAAAATTCACAATGAAGAGGCATGGTACCCAGAGTTGTACCTTTTTACCTTTGCAATGCAAACAAAACGAATGTAAATTGTTTTCTGTGAATTGTGCAAAACAGACAATCTTGCTGGCATATTTTTAAACACTATTTTATGCCTCTGGGGTATACATTCATGCAGATGAGCTTTAGAATGTGTTCTACGGACAGACAGAAATTAAAGACAGTAGCTCTAATGGAGGCAAAACCAATGAGAAGCATTAGCTGTAATGCATTACAAAAATATTTTAGTCCACAGCTGTTACAAGCAAGTGATTGATATGCATACCTCTTACGATTCATTTAATTCCCCCTCCAAAGCAATCTCAATGGAGGCTTCTTCTCAAATCTGTACTAATGATATAATTCCATTACGTTTAATAGAATCATCTAGTCATCTTAAGTAAAACTGAAAAGCTAGGATGATACAGTAAGGCCAATAATTTCTGCACTTATTTAAAATTCTACATAGTTTAGGAAATGGGTAATTCAACACAAAACATGAGGATACAGTCTGTCCCTCTTTTGTACTACAAATCAAAATATAGTTCTGCTATAAATATAAATAAATATAAAAAATAATTTAGCAGAAATAAAGCAAACAAAACCAGTAAATTATGTGACTTGGAAGCCATATGTACCCTTGGATTGGTGTTTTGCTCAAGCCATAAATATATTTAAATGTTTGTCTCTTTTCAGCCTGAGGCAAAAAAATCTGATTTTGTTATATGAAACAATAAGGGAAAAATCTTTGTCCTCTAGCATGTTAATAGCAAGCCGCAAACTTTACTGATTTCACTGATCTTCAAATATAACACCACTGATCTAGTGATATGGACTATATATTTTCATATATACACATACATATACACAGTTATTTTAAAACCACACTATTATATTCTGAGATTCATAAGTAAGATTTAAAAGGATAACTGCTTTTAGCAATAGATGCATTCTGCTATCAGACTTTGTCTGCTTTTACACTTTGCAGACGATTAAAGTAGTAAACAAAGACAGAGCAAAGTAGAAAGATTTCCAAAAGAAATTGCAGACCACCAGGATTTGGATTTAGTTAATCCACTTAGATTACCATGGCTGTGTCTTAAAAGGACAATGCTGAGATCACAAAATAGGTCACATACACAAGAAACAAAATACATAAGTAAAACAATGTCAACTTTACAAATACAAAGCAAATGTATAGAACCATCTCTAAATTTAAGGCACAAACTAGACAGCATTTGCCCCAAGACATTGCTCTGCCGAAGAGTAAGTATTTGAAATTGATGTTTTTAGGCCACAAGTTCAGAGGGGGGAAAAGACAACCATCAGTACATTAAAATGTTCTAGCAATAGTGGTGTCCAGGCAAAAAAACCCAACTTCTTTAACAGCTAGACTGATAACGTGTCGCTTTCTTCGCAGTTTTGACATTGTTCTCAGTTTCAAAAACAGAGGGTGGGGGAACCACAGGCACAGAAACAGTAACAGCTGGAGTTACTGTATGTATGTAAATCACTGCATATTGAAAGGAATCTATACTGTATGTTACAATCTCAATTTTGCTAGAATATCAAATGCAAATATCACCAAAGATACTGACGTTTGAAAAGAGACTGTGCAAGCAAACAAGGAGAAGGACAACAATGAAGTGTTAACTGGAGAACAACCTACAAAAATATGCAATTCAGTGTTCTATATTCTTAGAAACTGACATCTAAATATTGCAAAAAGTGCATAAGAGTGACAAATATTCAATTTCTTTGCAGCAGAAAAAACAAAACAAGTCTTTAGAAGTTAGGGTTACCATATTTCAACAATCAAAAAAGAGGACGGGAGGAGCCCCGCCCTAGCCCCGCCCCTGTCCTGCCCTAGCCCCGCCCCTGCCCCT